CCGCCGCTGCAATCCGGCCTGGGTGGAGTTGGTCACAGCGGGGACAGCACGCCGGGCGTGGGCGGCGGGCCCATGAGCGAGGCGCGGCGGCAGTGGCAGCAAAAGCAGCAGCAGCAGCAGCAGCAGTGGCGCCCGTCGTCGCCCGGCGCAGCCGCCCACCCTGGCGTCGCCCCCAGCAGCGGAGCGTTCGCCAACCCCTTGCTGCAGCCCGCCGCGCCCTGGAGCGCCGGTGGCAGCGCGAGCCCCGGATTCAGCGGCGGCAGCACCGGCAGCGGTGGCGGCGGCGGGGGCGGCGGCGTGGGCGTCGCGGGCATCATGGCGCGGGAGCAGTCCAAGGCGGCGGTGGCGGGCCAGGCCCTGGGTGCGGCGTTCTCTGACCTGCGGGCTCTGATGGCCGCGGCCCAGGAGATGGTGGACCTGGCAGAGCGCTTCAGGAGCCAGGGGGCCGCGGCAGGCGCGTCGGGCGGCGGCGGCGGCGAGGAGGGCGGCGGCGGTGAGGAGGCGGCGGCGCTGGACCGTGAGGCGCATGTGGCGCTGATGGCCATGGGGATCGTGAGCCCCGTGACGCGCGCGAGCGCGGGGGCGCAGTACCACCAGCAGATGGCGCGGCAGCTGTCGGACTTTTTGGAGGTGCGTGCTGGCCTTGCTTGCGGCTGGGTACGTGTGTGTGCGTGTATGTGTGTGTGTATTTGTGTGTGCATGCGTGCATGGGTGCGTGCATGCGTGCTTGCATGTGCCCTCAAGGGAAGGGCATGGTGACGCTAAGCGTCTGTCGCGTGAACCCGCGCAGCCCACCCTAACGCCAGCCCCACCCCCCCCCTCAACACCTCCGCTCACGTGTCCGCGCGTGGGTACGCGCACCTCTCTCGCCGCAGTCCCCCCTCGCCAAGGCTGGCGGCATCCTCATGCTGCCGGACGTGTACTGCCTCTTCAACCGCGCGCGCGGCACTGAGCTCGTGTCCCCAGACGACCTGCTGGCGGCCTGCGAGCTCTTCGAGGCGCTTGGACTGCCGCTGCGCCTGCGGCGCTTCGCCAGCGGCGTCATCGTCGTGCAGGGCGCGCAGCACACCGACGCGGCGCTCTGCCGCAGGATCGGGGCGCTCGTGGCCCCGGGCGGTGGCGGGGGGGCGGGGGACGCGCTGGGGCCGGCGCTGTCTGCGACCGCCGTGGGCATGGCGCTGGGGCTGCCCGTCGCGCTCGCGAGGGAGGCGCTGCAGGTGGCGGAGGCCGCGGGCGTGCTGTGCCGCGACGACGGCCCCGAGGGCCTGCGGTTCTTCCGCAACTTCTTCGCCGACGACGCGGTGGCGCGCGCCGCGGCGGCGCTTCTGGCGGCGTGACAACCTTGGAACCCCCTTGGGCGCCGTTGACCTCTCTGCGGTCGTGTTGCGGTAGCGCGCTGCATCACGCGGACATGCTTGTGGCATGTGAACCTCCCTTCCAGCGATCTTTGCCCCTGAAGGCATTCCACGGGTTCATTCTGGAACACCGATGAGGAACAACAGCACTGGCCGGGGTTGACCGTGAATATAGACCGCTGTGGGCCGCGTTGTGCAGCCACATGGACAGGCACGAGATGCAGTACCCAGCTGAATTATCTAATGCATCACAACCCCGGGGCTCCCGATCAGTTGCAGTTCAGACCATCTGGCGTCGGCATCGGCATAACGCCAACTCACCGAGGTGATCACGCAGCGGTGCCACCACTTTGTTGATCAAAGCCGTATTTGCTGTGAGGTATTCTGTAGCCTCTCCCGCGCACACAGGCGATCTTTGGTGGCGCGCACGCACATTATACCCTTCAGGAACAGCAGCCACGCTGGGCAACATGTCTGGGCGTGCTGAGGGCGAGGAGCTCAAGCGGCTGGGGTTCCTGAAGTGAGCAGTCGGGCCCGAAAACGAAGTCTGGTCACCGGCAGCTCCTCCCAACGCCGCGACGTGCTCGCGGCCCCGGACCTTGGGCCAGGCCAAGAAGAAATTCGAAGCGATCGCAAACGGCTTTTATGTGGGGCCACCGTGCTATGTGGCCGCGCAGCGGGCGCCCCCACCGGCACCTCGGGTCAGGTGCTGCGTGCGGGGCAAAGTGGACGCCTTCCAATCACCGGCCTGCTTCATTCTTCGCTGCCTGTGCGAAACTCTACTGCACGTAGATCTTACCTGAGCAAGGCGGTGGCGTATGGCGAGGGCTTCTACAGCAAGGCTCGCGGTGAGGCCAGGGCACGAAGACGGCAGCGAGCGACAGCAGCTCAGGCGGCCAACAGCGGGGCGCCGCCTCGCGCCTTGCTGGCGTGCGTTCATTGCGGGTGTGCGCCTCACTGTTGCTGCAGAGATAACATTTCTGGGCCGCGCGTGCAGCCACTTTATGAGCCCTGACCTGTCCGCTCGATGTGCATACTGTACATGCTTCCCTCGACCCGCCCTGCTCGCCCACACCATCGCTGCCCCGCCCCTCCCGGCGCTCGGCCTGGCCCCTGCTTGCGTCTACCGCTGCCTCATGGCGCCCCCTTAGGCTTCACCCCCGCGTTTGCTGAGCCCTACGTGCTCCAGCTGGAGGACAAGAGCAAGGCCATCGCGGCGCCCGCGGTCACCAAGGGCCAGGACGCTGCAGCTGACGTGCTCGCCAAGGTGGACGGCCAGGTGCGGCTGGGGGCGCATTGAGCGGGGGTGTGCCGCTGTAGCTGTAAGTGCAATCATGGGAGCTCTTTCGGTTTGGCGCATCCGTGCCGCCAGCGGCTGCTGCACCACGAAGAGGGTGCAAGGGCGCAGCAGCTGCCGGCACCACGCATGGGAAACCCAGCGCGGCCGGGGGGCTGTTCTGATGCCACGAAGCAGTGCAGAGGTCCAGCATGGCGTGACATGCGACACGGTAGGTTTCTGGTCCTACCCACATGGGATCGTCTGATGCTGCAGTAGCCACCACGCCTGCTGGGGCCCCCTGGCCGTCGCTTGTCGAGTCTGCCTCACAGCCTCATCACCTTGTGGACCATGTTCGTGCCGCCCCCCCCCCCAAATCCCAAAACGCGGCCATCATTGTACCCCCTCTCGCTGTCAACCCCAACTCTGATGAACCCACCCCGCCAGCTGGACTACCTGGTCAACACCCTGAACGCCACCCTGGACTACAGCCGGGAGCTCCACAGGTGACAGGGCGGCCACCTGCGGCCCTCCCCCCCAATTCTGCACGGCCGCTGCTGTGGGCGAGAACCCTTGAGGCACAGCGCTTGTTGGAGGTGTGGGCATGGAGCACTGGGGCTCCCTGCCTGTTGTGTTTTTTACAGAGACAAGATGACTTGACAGCTCAGATCTTCTTGTCGCACTTCGCAGCTCTGCCTGCTCGCAACTGACCGCCGCGACCACAACTCTGCGGCCGCCAGTCAGCACGTTACCTCAACACACGTGCGCACGCACATACACACACTCACACACACACACAACACACTCACAATCTCTCTCCCTCACGGGCAACGCAGCAAGAACATGCAGTCCTTCAACGCCGCGCGCTCGTCGTACTTTGGCTTTGTGGCGGGCCTCGTGGACGCCACCAAGGCGCGCCTGGACCCCCAGCGCTACGTCGCGGTGAGGGGGCGGCAAGAAAACGGACACAGCGCCGGGCTAACGCGTGGTGGGGGACGGCACTGGGTTGTGCTGGGCTGCAGGTGCCTGGGGTGCACCTACGCGCCCAGCAGTCAAACATTGCAAGCTCCATCCTGACTGCCACCACTGTGTTTCCCGAGCCTTTACTCACCACGCTGCCCCCAACCCTGTGCCGCATTGTCCCACCTATCACACCCTTTGCCCCCCTTCCGCCCCCCCCCCTCCTCCCCCAGTACGCCACCGAGCTGGGCAAGACCCTGGTGGACACTGTGGCGGCC